ATTCTTTACTTTTGAGGATTCTCCATGTTTTCCTTAATGACGATTACATTTACATTTCTACCAGGAGTGTAAAAGGTTCCTATTTCCCGACTTCCTTATCAACGATTCATCCTTCTGATGACAGTCATTCTAGCTGGCATAAGGTGTTGTTGTTTTACATGTTCATTTCTTTAGTGACAATTATTTTGAGCACTTTTCATGCATACCTGATAGTCACTTGTATATCTTCTCCGGAGAGGTGTCTGTTTAAGTGTTTTATAGCCCCGTTCCTCTTTTGACAGTTCTGGGGCACTCAGAGTCTTTGGCATGCTATATGAGTGCTAAATTATTGAACTGTGTCTCCCTTACCCATCTTTTTTATTTATTTAAATTAGAAACATGCTTGCTTCACATGTCAATCCCAGCTCCCTCTCCCTCCCCTCCTTCCCCACCCCACCTGCTCCCTAACAGCTCCCCACCCAATCCCCACTCTGTTCCCCAGGGAGGGTGAGGCCCTCCATCTGGGCTCTCCTAGGCTCTCCCCCATGTGTCCAGGCTGAGAGAGCATTCCTCAATATGCCTTACCCGTCTTTTAATTAGTTTTTTTCTTGCTATTTAGTTGAGTTATTATGCATGCTAATATCTTATCAAATGTATAGCATGCAAATACAGTCTCTATTTCTCTTCACAAAACTTAAATGTAATGGTTTCAGAGGATAAAGAAGTTGGATGTGGCCCAGAGTTTCAAGGATAAAATTAGAAAGCCACAATGCTCATGAACTATGAGGAGGCACAATTCGTGAAATAGAAAGAAACACAGAAACGAAGGCTGCATCAAAAGTAGTAAGATGTTGAGGCATGCTGGCTGAGGGTCGTGGAGCAGCACTTCTTACCTCGTGTGTGAACCCTGTGTTTGATCCAGACTGGAAAAGCAAAGAAGAGAGAAACAAAGACAAAAGCAAAATTGAAAAGTGACATATGAGAAGGATGAAAATAAATGGGAAATGACAAACTTAAATCAGGAAACTTGAATCAGGAAAAAGACATCCAGCACACTCCTAATAAACTTCCTTTAAAAAATAAAATACACGGGAAACAGGAAGAATGCAAAGGCATTATTAAAGAAAAAATTGAAGCCAGGCTGAGTGGCACATGTCTTTAATCCCAGCTCTCAGGAGGCAGAGGCAGGTATGTCTCTGTGAGTTCAAGGATAGCCAGGGCTCAAACAAGCAAACAGAAAGAAAGCAAGCCTATGTTCTAACAAATATAAACATCAGAATTTGACTTTCAAAAATGTCTGTCTAGATTGCTTTCAGGATGGCAGACAGGCAGTTCGCCTTAACTGTCCAACTGCAGTTTGAGATATAAGATCATAATACAATATTCAGAACAAAGGGCCTGGTACTTTAACTTTTTAGCTGATTGACTTCTAGGGCCAGATTTTGAAGGTGAAATAGAAAATAATTTCCATCGATAATAGAATTGATGCACAATTATATAAATAAGTACATACAGAGCATAGAGTGTAGACTCAGAAAGAATGGTTCAAGACATTTTAGAAGATATGGCATATAGAAAAACCAGTTCCTTGGATCAGAAACTTAAGAAATCTCACAGCGATTTTTACTGGTAACAGGTTTAAGTTAAAGAAAGGACAGGAGGTGTTGTTACTTATTAACCTCTCCTTTATGTGTCTGAGACTTAGCTAAGCATCCGAGAAACAAAGTCATTTGAGACAGGTCTCTACTGTCAGGAGTCTATTAGACTTGATTTGGGTTCTTGGTTAAGCTGGGTTTTTTTTGAAAATATACACATTGAAAATAATTTTTATTATATCCTAATTTAGTATTAATAGCTATTATAAACAAAATTTTCTGACTACATAGCAAAATTCAGTATTGTGTTGTTTTTTAAACCTTTCAAACATTTTTTATTTAAATTAGAAACAAGCTTCTCTTATAAGCTGTTTTATAGAGTTATGTCAACCGCAAGGAAGACGCGACTCGGGAACTGTTTATTCAGGAACCCTGAAACAGTCTTCTCCCCGGGGAAAGCCAGCCCACAGTTTATATGGCCTAGGCATAGCCAACCCCAGCCTGCTACTTGGCGATAGCAGATAGGTCCACACACAAGGAAGCAAGCCGTGGACCGAAGCCTTGGCCAAATACGGAGTTGTTTACTCCGAGAGCGCTCACCGTCGGGAGGGTGGTAGGCGGAAGCCTGCGCCATCTTTAAGGCGCGGCATGTCACAGCTCTCCACAGAGTTAAAATGTATTTAATGTCGTTTTGATGTTCTAGCTGTTAGTTTCATAATGCCTGGACTACTTTCAGGGAATAGTCCAAACCGTTAGGAAGGTTTTGCCTCAAATGTAGTAAGTTTTCCTGATGAGCTCTTTGGTGGGTAACAGGTTTACTAGTTTCTTATTGGTTTTGAAGACATCTAATAAGAGCACATGTAAAGTGGCTAGCGGTGCTCTTGATTTATGGCTGAAGGCCAAGCTAAGGTGGGTGGGTTTGTATTAATAATCTGGGCACCAGAGCCCAGGCGGAAATCAAGATTCTGGTTTTTCTCATTTTCATGTTAAGTTATACTTCCAATTAAAAAAAAACGCTTTGAAAATATTTGGATCAGGGCCGGGCAGTGGTGGTGTTTTAATCTCAGCTCTCGGGAGGCAAGAAATGGCTGATCTCTGTAAGTTCGAGACCAGTCTGGTCTACAGAGCTAGTTCCAGGACGGGCTCCAAAGCTACACAGAGAAACCCTGTCTCAAAACAAACAAACAAACAAACAAACAAAAAATAAAACAAAACAAAAAAACAAACAAAACAAAACCAAAAATATTAGATCAGGAGAAACTGTGGAGGTTTTGCTAAAGAGAAATTTTTATCAAGATTTGATGTTTGTTTGGTTATGCTATCAAGAAGGCAAATATAAGGGCTGAAGAGGTGGCTTGGTGGTTAAGATAACTGGCTGCTCTTCCAGAGGATCTGGGTTCCCCTTCCAGCCTGGAAACACAGCAGCTGGAAATTATGTAACTGCAGTCTCAGGGGGTGTGGCACCCTCTTGGGGCCTTTGCCGTTATGTAACAGCAGTCTCAGGGGTATGACGCCCTCTTCTGGCCTTTGCCGTTATGTAACAGCAGTCTCAGGGGGGTATGACGCCCTCTTCTGGCCTTTGCCATTATGTAACAGCAGTCTCAGGGGGTATGACGCCCTCTTCTGGCCTTTGCCGGCACTAGGCATGCATGTGATGTGCTCACCTATACACAGACGAAACACGCATACACATGAAATAATAGTTCTAAAAATTCAAAGGAGCTTATGGATTCGCCTTTCATTATTGGGCTAGCCTTTCTTTTAGCCATTGCTTCCCTATAAATTCTAGTTTATTTACATAAGAACGCAATGCTATGCTGAGATTTTGGGAGGAATGTGGCGAGAGTGGGAATCAGATATGTGATATCTACTTATTCATGGCATAAATGAAATCCTTTGAAAGTGGATATCAATGATTCTTTAAATGGGAGATAGGAAAAGGAAAAACTAAAAATGTGATGTTTGCCTTAGAGATAGATTTTTCCATGCTGATTCTTTGTATGAGGTTTTTTTTTCTTTTCCATACACCTTTTCTACATCCTATACACTGTCCTTCCAGATACAGCTCAGGCTTCCTAAACCTGATATGATTGCAGGCTTGACTTCAGGTCTAAAACTAAAGACACATTGGTACATCTTTCCAGCCATGTTTATTCTACTGAGAATAAATGGGAAAATGTAAAGAATAACCATTCATCCATAGCAGGCAGCCTATCTAGGCCAGGCTAAACTAGGAGGAGAAATTGCAAATCCTGCTCTCTGGCAGAAAAACAGATACTTCATTTTGCTTTGGGAATTTGGTGAGGAATAGATTCCGATTTACTGGCCATTTCACGTTTTACTAAGGTCTTTTAATGATGTCCACGCTGGTGCCGCCTTATAGGCCATTGTGCTTCTTGCTTTATTTTTGTCTCAGATTGGATAAAGTTTTCTTTGATGGGTAAAGGCAAGCTAGTGAGGACTCACTCACCTTTCCATTATTTCTAGTTCCCGGGTGAGACAGCAAATCTGCCTGTGACATTCGAGGGAATAATTGGAATTCAGTGGAGCTCTGCAGTTAGTAATTCCACTTTGGGTCTTAAGAAGAAGGTGTCGAGTTTGTCCATTTAAATCGACAAATTGAAAACGGAAAAGGCAAGAGAAATGTGTTTGGAGCCCACTCTCTATGGTCAGCCTCGATACAGGGGGCTTGGTCCTGCCTCAACTTGGTATGCCAGATTTTGTGGACTCACCAGGGAAGGTCTTACCCCCTCTGAGGAGTGGATGAGGTTGTGGGAAGGGGGAAGCAGGGGAGGGAGAGAAAGGGAAAGAGGGGAACTGGGGTTGGCATGTAAAATGAAAAATAAGTTTTTAAAAAATAAAATTAAAAAAAACCTTACGCATGCAGTCATCCCCATTCAAAAATCACCACTTTCAGGCAGAAAATACAATTAGTGTGAACTTCTGAGTTGTTTTTTAAATTCCATTCAACCTTTCAAATTTTGATCCGTGGGCGTTTTGAACAACTATGTTAAATGAAAGATTTTGAATGAGCAATTTAATGTTTAGTATTTAATTAAATTTCCCTTTCCAGCTTACCCCTCAGGGGAAAAGACGAACTGTAGGGTGCTAGGTAGATGCTTCTCGTAAAACCTGTCGCTGTGTCTCTGCACAGCTTGAACGTGGAGCTGCCTCCCTTTGCGGCTTCTGGAGCCTCTACAGGGAGGGGATTCAGGGTTCTGGCCGCCCTGTGCCGGCGGAGGAACGACAGGCAGAGCTTCTTTTCCTCCCCGGAAGCGCGGGTCCTCTCTGGGGACAGTTGACAAGTTTGTGATTCTAGGCTCTGACTGGCCGATGGCATCTCTGCCACACTCGGGAGAGTCTGAGCCACGAACAGAAGGGTGGTAGAAACTCTTCAGGGAAGGGAAACTACGGGTTCGCTGAAAGATGGGAGCGCAGACTCTTAACTCCCGCTGGCTCCGCTGTCTTCAGGGGAGTTTGAAAGGGGCCTCTGTTCCCAGAGACGCCGCCTCGTCGCTCCGTGTTGAACTAGCTGTGGCTGGCGGAGAACTCAGCAGCCACGGGGAGGTGACCTGGAAAACGTCGCTGGCAGGAGGCGTTTCTGTCCCTCCAGCATCTTCCTGGTCCAACGCGGAGCCGGCGGCGGCCGGAGCCCTCGGCGAGCACGGCCCAGAGTGTCCCCACCCGGGCAGTTTAACTCTGCACCCCTAGGCGGCGCTGCTGCGCTCCTCCGCACTCGGAGCACCCTGCAGCTCAGCCCCGGTGGAACGCCGGTGGCTTCCAGCTTGCAGTGCTGGGGGGTGGAGCGGCTGGAACTTCCCAAGGCTCCTTCCCTTCGGGAGTTGAGAGCATGGTCCCAGGTGACCGCAGCTGAAGCATGGACGCCGAAAGGAAGGGTGGTGTGCTGGGGGCGGGGGTGGGGCAGTTCTGCGTTGGTGGGTGTCTTGTGGCGGGACAGTTGGTGTGGGAGGAGATGGAACTCGGAGTCTCTGTAGGCAATGTCGTCTCGGACTTGAAGCTGTCAGCAGCTGCTCTGTCTTCGCAGAACTTTCGCTTCCTTTCCAGGTGCTTTAAGTCTAGCTAGTGCGACAGCGAGCCCTGCTTCGGCGTGGATCCGGGCAGTGGTAGCTCGGTGGTTCGAGAGCCAGTGGGCCGTGAGCGACTGTGCAGGGCCAAAGCTGTTTGCATCTTGACCTACGAGCTCACGTCTGACAGCCCTCTGAAGCTGCAGAAGATGCTTGTTCGCCTCCTAGACACCAACGGCAGCTCCTCCCTCTTCCCTGCTGGAGATGCTCATCTGCACATCCGGGAGTTCCTGACCCCAGGAGCCCGGTTCACTCTCCCCAGTGCACAAGAAGCTGATGAGGGAAGCACCAGGGTGCTAAGGTACAGCCTAAACTCTAGCCAGCACTTTCGCCTGGACATGGGGTCCCAGGTCGATGGCAGAAAATACCCGGAGCTGGTGCTGGAGAAAGCTGGATGGAGAGCAGCGGGACACGCCCCTGCTGGTGCTCACTGCTCAGGACCGCGGCCTGCCTGTACGCTCTGGAGATGCTCAAGTCACCATCACTCTGTGGTGGATGGAAACCAACGACAATGTGCCTGTATTTGAGCACTTCGTATATAGTACTAAGGTTCCAGAGACTGCACCCAATGGAACTGCTATTCCGCGTTCAGGCTTCAGATCTGGGTGAGGGGTCCAGTGGGAACATCTGGCACTCCTTAAGCAACAGCGCACCAGCAGAGCTAAGGCACCTCTTTCACACACACCCTAAAAGTGGGGAGGTTCAGAAAGCTGCTTCGCTAGGTCCACCGGAAACGTTGTTTGAAGCACATGTTGAAGCAAGAGTCAAAGGTGCTTTTAGTCTAGCTGGCACTGCTAAGCTGCTTGTCCAGGTGACTGATGTGAATGATCATGTCCCCCAGATGGACTTCTGTGACTTTCTCCAGCCCAAATCCTGGTACAGTGATTGCTCTCCTTAGTGTAAAGGGCGAGGATCTTGATTCCAGTGGTAAGGTCCAGCAACGGTCCCTTTCGGTTGAAGGCTTCCTTTGACAGCTACTACAAATTGCTGACTGATGAGCCCCTGGATTGGGAGCAAGCAAGTGAATATCAGGACCTAATCACTGCTTCAGATGGTGGCTCACCCCCACTAAGGACTCGAAGGACGTTCACTGTGTCTGCTACTGATGTGAACGACAACACACCAAGCTTTCCTCATCCACAAGAGGAACTTTGTGTGGCTGAAAACAATAGCCCTGGATTTTCATTAGGATGTGTGTTTACTCAGGGCCCATATCTGGGGGAAAATGGCCTTGTGTTTTATGAACTGTTGGATGTCATCCTTGAAGGGATGCTAGCTTCCTCCAGCTTGGTGTCAGTGGAACCAACTAGTGGTGTTATCACTGCCAGAATTTCCTTTGACTTTGAACAGCTCAGGGGGCTTCACTTCTGAATGGAAGGCTGAGATGGTGGCCTTCCTCCCAGAAGTACAACGGTGACTGTGAACCTGTTTGTGGTAGACAGGAATGACAATGCACCAAACATCTTGTTTCCCTTACCTAGAAACGTCTCTATCCCAGTGGAAAGAGTGCCCCACTCTGCTCGAGCTGGACACCTAGTCACAAAAGTGGCAGCAGAGGATGCAGACAGTGGTCCCAATGCCTGGCTCTCCTACATTTCTTGGGCTTCTGACTCTAGTCTTTTCAGGATTTCAGTGAATATGGGAGAGCTTCGAACTGCGCGTTTAGTTTTTCCCTCGGATGCGATTAAACAGAGGGCGGTTGTAGTGGTTCAGGACCACGGAGAGCCACCACTTTCCTCCTCTGTCTCGCTGGGTGTGCTATTGAGCAATGCTCCTCAGGTCCTTCCAGACATCTGGGAGCCAAGAGCACAGCTTTCTGCTGGGAACTTGTATTTGGTAATAGCCCTAGTCTGCATTTCCTTTTTATTTCTGGGGTGCTCGCTTTTCTTTGTGTATGTCAAGTTAAGCCAGAGCCCAGATTGTTGCTCTCAGAACTGCTGTCATTCTCCAGAAAATGTGAGACATGAGAGGACAATGCCTTCTGGTCCTTGGGTGACATCAGCCACAACAGATGTCACTACAGTCGAGAGACTTTCTCAGACATACCTCTATCAAACCTCCCAGGGACTTGGTTCTGGTACTAGCAGCTTGCTCTTGCAGGGAAATATAATGCTGCTGATCTGAGAAATCTGGCTACTGGTGTAGGACTGAATTTGCCAATATCCTGTGCTCAGATTCAGAATAGGAAAGGGAATCATACAAATGCCAATGCCCTGGTAAGCACATTTTGTGGTGTTTGACTCCTCTGAGAAGGAGATAGCTGCTAGCTATGTTCTAAGCTGTTTCTTATAGGAGTCTTCCTTCAGTTTATATTTAATCATTTGACTACTTCTCACTATGTCAAGAATTCTGGGAGTATACACAGAATATTGCTCTAGACGCCAAGGAGCTAAGTTAATTTTTATAAATTAATTTTAAAGTTTGATTTTGTTTGTGTGTACATGTGCGCCTATGGATATCAGAGGGAGCTGTATTTCTCTTTCTATCATGTGGATTCTGGGTTCTGAACTCCAGTTTCCAAGCACCTTTATCTTCTGAGCCATTTCACCAGCTCTCATAGCTTATCTCTGAGAAGGAGGGTAAAGCATTAAAACTTATTAAAATCAATAAGAGTAATATGGACTAGAGGTCTAAAATTAAAGACAGTGAAGGGCTGCAGTATTTCTTGGGCAACAGACATGAGACAGGGGCTCAGATACCTAACACGAAAAACATGTGAGCCTGCAGATCACGAGCAAAACGTGGATGAAGAGATGCTCTGTGGGGCCTTGGGTAGTATTTATCCCTGGCGTACAAATGGACTTTGAGTTCCCATCCCACAATGAGGGAGGCTTTCTTAGCCAGGACTCTTGGGGGAGGACCTAGGCTCTGCGCTGGGTGAAATGACAGTCACTGGAGATCCCCCATGGATGGCCTCACCCTCCCTGGGGATCGGAATGGAGATTGGGTGGGGGACTTGTGGGGAGGGTGGGGGAAGAGGAGAAGGAGCTGGAATTGACATGTGAAACAAAGCTTGTTTCTAACTTAAATACAAAAAATAAAAAAGAGACACTCCAATCGCTGTGATACTTTATGAAAGACAATAATCACTGAAGATAAATTGCAGCTGACCCTCATCAAAGACAGACAAAACATGAGTGAACATCTGGATGGAAGGAAGGAGTCAAAGAGACATTCATATTCAAGATGACATTTGACTTTGATCTTGAATGACATTTAATAAAATATGGCATATTCTGCATATTATACTTTTTCTGAAAATCATTGTTGTGGCAAGTACTCTTTGAGAAAGGCATGCCTTAGATGCAGTTAATAGCTCCACAGCACTTCATAAATACACAAAATTACAAGCATATCTCAGACAACTATGGGTGAATGACTCTGACAACTTTTATTTTTTTAATTCAGCATATTTTTTCCAAAAACAAAAATGAGTAATCTTTTGTCAGTTACATATGTGTCTTCAGGGATATGCTTATTTTTCAAAACTCATTCCATTTGAATTCAGTTTTCTTATTGTTTTAGAAGCCACTATGTTTGAGAGTGGTGCACCTAATACAAGTTAAGTAATTGAAATACTTCAGAGGCTTTGGTAAGCTCAAAAAATTTGAATGGAGTCACGACAGTGTACTTTACACAATTAATATTATACACTATTGTTTTCTTAACTCTCAAAGTAATCATGGATATAAGAAATTACGAATGCAGAAATCAGGGAAGGAAAACAAGGCGTCTCTTGCTTTACTCTTCTAAGAAATAAGAGGAAAATGGCTCATGAATTATTCTCCCCAAATAATGATGGGGTTGCAAATACAAGTGATTTAAATTTATTATAATGTTATATAGTATTTTCACATGCTATAATAAAACCTAACACATAAACTATACTTGTGAATGAATTAATGAGTGTGCAAGCAATGGGTTGGAATGGTAACACTTCAACATGTTCTGCACACGTGAATATGTGGTTAATGGTTTAGTGCCATTTCCAGATATAATGGCTCAATGATTATTTTCTTCTCATGAAATACATAACAAAATAGTAAAGCATGGGAACTTTCTGGCCCTAAAACTATCATGAAAACACTCAATGCTATGTTCTGGAATAAGCACAACTCCAGTTCTTTAGATGGCAAAGGGATCAACAGAATGCACATCCTTACATTGTGAAATTTGCAGAAAATGCTACCTACAAAATCTCATTAGTGTTAAAGTGGGAAATTGGTGTGTCCAATGTTAACAATTCAAGTATCAAAGCACTAGGCTTGTGATTATCATTTATTTAATTTATGTTTTTTTGCTTTGTTTTGACACTGGGTTTCACAATGTAACCCTGGTCTGGAACATAACATGTAGATCGGGCTAGCCTCTAACTCTTAGAAATCGGATTGGCTCTGCCTCCAAGATGCTGGAATTAAATGTGTGTGCCACTGCTCCTTGACCATTACCTTCTGTGAAAAGGAGCTTATTAGTGATAGGGGTAGCCTGAGAGACAGGTCTGTCTAGGAAAGGGAAATGTAAGTAAGTCATTATAAAGGCCAATGGGTATGAAATTTAAAAAATAAAATGAAACTTTTATGTGAAAAAAAAAGGCTGAGCAAATGTTGTTCTAGTGAGTAAGATTACTTATAAAGCATGAGAAACTGAATTTTAATCTCCACTATCCATGTGAAACACTGGACAAGCCTGCAAACTGCGTGTGACTGTACCTGTGTTGGCTGGCAGAGACAGGCTGACCCTGGGCACTACAGGGCTAACCAGACAAGCCCAACTGTGAGCTCTGGTTCAGTGAGAAACCCTGCCTTAGCTCGATAAAGGGCTGAGTGGTAGAAAACCTCCCCCGGGCCCCTCCACCTTCACTCGTGGAGCACGGCTGCGTGCACCTGCAGGCCACCTGCACCCATCAGCTCCCACTATTAAAAAAACTGAAAAGTAACAGCAAGAGAAAGCACCTCTCTTTCACATGTGATCTTACATGAAGGGCAGAGTGGCAAGAGCACGCGGAACCGCCTGTTTATATTTTGTTGGGTTCTAAGTTGCTTTCCAATTTTAGTTTGTTTATAATGTATTGACAGTTATAATATCAAAAACTGTCAGCTTAAGAAATCCAGTCAAATGTGGATTTCATCTGAATCTCTTATGGAAACTATGTAACAGACAAACAAAATTGACCTACTATGCAACAAACGATGAGCCTCAAACCCATGTTTTTTTCTGTTAAGGTAGTGTAATTCCTTAAGCTGGTATCAAAAAAAGGTACCCCTGGCAGGTAAACTTCAACTTTTCATTTATAATTGAAGTGCTGGCAGTTTCTTAAGAAAACCTATAGTATTGTAACAAAAATGGATCGGAAAAGAGCATACAACTACTAGTCTTAAATATTTTATATAAAAGTTACTGGGTTGAGCATCTCACTGCTGTGCTAATGCATTATTGTTCCATAATAAATCCGTTATAGGATACCTGCAATGTGACCTGCTCACAGAGTAATAGAATGTTTTGATATGCAAATGTTTTTTACTTATTTGTTAATATGCAGCTGTAATTAAACTTTCTCATAGGTTGATTAAATGTTTCCTTGTAACTATTGGTGACACTGGTCACTTCAAAATATTTTAGAGTGCTATAACTTACAAAGCTTTCCTGACATGTGAAATATATTCAGATTGAAAAAAATCATTTAGATGGTATCATGGTACTTATTTAAAATAGGGACCCTCTGAACTCTGTGCATGGCCAAATGAGGTTTATCCGGGTTGTGATCATTGCTAATTGAAAACAGGGACCCTCATATAGGTTTAAAAAAGAGATCATGGATTTGAAAGAGGGCAGGAAGTAGCATAGCATACAGGAGGTCTGGGAGGGGTAAAGAGAAGGGTAGATGATGTAACTATATTATAACCTCAAAGGAATGAAAAAAAATACTTTTAAAAAACAGCATTATAGCTTGAGTGGACAGACAAGGAAAGCAATACATGGAAACATGTGAGTGGGAAATTATTGATAATATGTCTGATATGTCAGTGATCTATTGATTTTTTTCTTGTTGTCTTCAACTTGCAATTAGAGGGAAACAATAATATTCACTTGTATGGGTTGCATTGAGGACTGACTAATTGATAAAAAGGTGTTATTGTGCTGTTCACGTGCATATTGGAAATATTAACATCTGTAAGAATGTCAAATAAATATGAACCACAGTGCAAACTCCTGACTGCAATATCATGGGTTATAAAATTTGTTGATAAGAGTACTTAAAACAAACCAAAAAACAAACTAAATGATGAAGGGGATCATTTGTCTTGTTCCCTGGGTATTTTTGTTTGTTTGTTTGTTTGTTTGTTTGTTTTGCCACATGTCTCTTTCTTATTGAAACTTTTTATTGAAAAAAATTCCCATCCAGATGTGCAGGTTGATGGGGAAAATCCTCTGTATATGTAAATAAAGCACTCCTTGACTCCTACTCCTACTTATCTTGCTTCCCTATTGGCCAACAGTGCTTTATTTATCAATCAATCAGGCAAACATATACACAGAAGGACTTCCCCCATCATCTCCTCTTTTCTGTCTAAATAAAAAGAAAGGTTTTAACTTTAACACAGTAAAATATATAACAAGGCAGTTATTAAGCAAGAACTATAAATACAATATTTAGTCCATTAACATTTAGCAAGATTTAAAGAAAATATCATCTATCCTATCTATGTGAGTCTGAAGTCTTATATGTAATTTATCTTTTATCCTTATAATTTATCATAAGGAAAACAATAATTATAACCATCTGTCTTCAACTCCATCAAAGACCACAGAAGGACAATATATAAACACTAGAATTGACAGAGACATCTCACTACCTGGACAGCCACCCGAAGTTCCTCTGTAACGTTGGGGCATCCATCTTCAGCCCATAGGCCACAGTGTATCTGGCAGACTTTTCAGCAAAGCAGGAAATTTTAAACTGTCCATCTGCATTGGTGGTTTGTCAGTCATTTTTTGTGTCCTGTAGAATGTCTGGTAGATTCTTCCATGAACACTTTAGGACTGTCCATCTTGGTTTTTTTGTTGTTGTTTTTGTTTTAAGAGACAGGGTTTCTCTGTATTGTTTTGGAGGCTGTCAGTCCAGCCTAGCCTCGAACTCACAGAGATCTGCCTGCCTCTGCCTCCCGAGTGCTGGGATTAAAGGCGTGCACCACCACCGCCCGGCTGTCCATCTTGTTTTGTAAGTTTATCAGTCACTTTCTTGTGGGTCCTGTATGTCCAGTTTATACAGCAACAGTCAAACAGTCCAGGCAAGAGCAAATGACTAATCTTGCCATGTTGAAAGCAAACTCCATAAGTAGTTTTTTTGATGCCCATATTCCTCTTAGACGTAATTTGTATGCTAGGAGAAGTAGTGTCTTACTATCATGAAAAACCCTAAACAATTTAAATGACATTTTCTGAAGATCCTTGAAAGGTTTGAAGATGATCTATCCATCTAAAATATACCTCTGTATATCTAGAAAACCCAACTAACCTAACTATAAGTTTTGACTATTATAGGTAACTATCTATAATTTCAAACTGCTTCCTGCTGTTAGGGGGTGCTGGCCATACCATGGGGATCATGACAAAACACAGAAACCTGACCAAGTCCTTGTTTTTATAGTCTGTGAGGCAGCATCATCTCTGCTGTTTTAGATGTTGGATCACCTGGGCCACTGTTTCAGAGGGTCTTGCTCCATAAAAGTCCAGAAGGAATCCACAGCTTTTCATTTTCTGTGGAAACACAAGTAAAAACTCTTTTCCCAAGTAACCTGTCCTTATATTTAAATTAAGAAGTCAAAGAATTTTTAAAATATATAAGTTTGATTAATGCAGTAGCATTGATAATCAAGT